GCAGCCGATCCCGGCGGCACGGCATTTCTCGCGGGTAATGAGCAGTGTGTGGCACTGAGCACAGCTCTAGAAATGATTAGGTGGTGTTATTTGTATTGTGAAAGAATCTAGAAGCCCCGGGTATGGACCAGGACTCGGTTGTGCTAGGGGTAGTACAAACACACAACAAAATGATTGTCTCTCCCTCTAAGGTCTTACAATATAAGAACAAACCTAATACAGATCTTGGGAAAGTGCTTCTGTCATCACTCCGACAAGTTCAATTAATTCACTGACATTTTAGCTCCACAGCAAAGGCTTAGCATAGGACAAAGAACATGGCTGAACTATGTGAGACCAGCCCCTACGACCAGCCACGGGTAGGATTGCCAGATGGTTTCAACAAACATACCGGACACACTTGACATGACATCACCATCTACATTCCATCTTATTTGGAAAATACTGGACAGTTCTATGTTCTCATTTATATTTTCTCAATTTGTTTCCCAAACGGAAAGCTCAAATACTAGACTAAGTTCAAAACCGGACACCTGGCAACCCTATCTCCGGGTGAAACACCTGGAGAACACCATCGGTCTTGTTCAGGTAAGGTCGAGTCATTCTGAGCGCTGGAATGCTGACACACAGCGGCTGGATTGGGCACGAATCTGCAAACGCCTCAGCTCCCGCCGCAGATGGGAAGGAGCTCAGTGCCTGGCAGGATGGGGCCCAGAGCTGCTTAATGAGCTTGGTCCCTCAGCCCTGCCCATTTTCCAGTTCTGATTTCTCAGGACTCAAATCCAGGGAGGGAGGGTTGCCAGGTGTACGGAATAGACCAGGACAGTCCAGTATTTTCACCGCCTGTCTGGTAAAAAGAATCCAAAAATACTGGACACCTAAAATGTCTGGTATTTTCTGATTCCCTCCTCCCCCCCTCCCCCCCGTCAGGAGGCAAAAATACCAGACACCTGGCAACCCTACCCCACTCAGCAACCGGGCCCAATAACTTTGTCGTCTCCCCCTTTTTTTTCTCAACAGTGTTTTTTTGGGGGGAGGGGAGGATGGTGTTCAGTATTTTTGGTTAAACCATCTGGCAACCCTAGGGAGGGCAGGCAGGAAGGCTTCACAGACCGCGGCCCGTCTGCCATGGCCGAGAGGAGAGGCATAGTGCACCACAGTGCAGTCAAAGGCTGAAGAAACCAGCCCCCATCAGCAGTTACTGGCCCTTTCACCTCATACCTTGGTTTGGCGCTGGGCCCTCGTTTCCTGTGGACGCTGGCTGAGCGCCCCCGGGCCACCTCGGCCTGCGGCACCACCACCACCACCTGCGGCGCCTGGACGAAGCAGAAGCCGTTGTGGACCCCGACGTGCAACCGGCGTTCCTGGATAACGACTCCGCTCCCATCCACCACCGAGCTGTCCTAGGAAACAGCATTTCAGCGAGGTTACACCACAGGCTGAAATAGCCAATCCTCCAGCAAACAAATTCCTCCCTCCCCCCACCCCCCGGCGACGGGCTGGGAGCTGCATTTCTCTCTGGCTGAGACAGGCGGGAGGGAGAGAAGACTCCTCCTCCTTCCCTCACCCAGCCAAAAAATAGCAGTGGAACAATACTGCAGAAACAGCTGCATGGGA